GTTTCTTGTTTCATTTTTCGAAGACATCTATCGCCTTTACCAAACCCCTTCGGATTTCTGTGTCACATATTTGTTATGGGGTCCTCCCCTTTTCATATAAGTGGAATCTACCAGTGTACTTGGAGTGCTGCCGTTAAATACCCAGAGTAGACAGTCAGTGAGGGTAGTCGGATAGAGAGGATATACGGCGAGAGTGAGAGAATATACGAACGGAGATAGTGTGAGGTAACCTCTTGTAGAAGTCAGTTACAAGCACGTAGACTCTAAAGAAGTCCTACTTCGAGACTGTATATATCTATCTGTATTTGCTACTAACCGCGTTCCTGGATTTACTAACAGTATTATCCTTTGTATGATTGTGTAAATACATTTTATTTCTTATATTTACTTATTGCGTTTGTCATTCCTTGGAGACCGAATTCATCTCGGAATCCACAACAATATTCTAACGTCTATTATAACACATCATAATTCGTGTACTTGCTTTATTTTGACGTTCCCATTTTTTATATTGTATTAAGTGGTGGCCTGCTTGCTAATAACTACACATTATATCTACTCACAATTCCTGTCCTGTCTTTAAACTTTCTAACACCCATTAAATATAGATGGCACATGTAAAATTTGTTAGGAGGAATATTACTAATGGTGACTGTAAGCCAAACACTGTTTATTTTTGTAAGATTTGACAGTAAGAGAACTCACTTTAAGCTAAAACAGGCTTACGGCCATATCACGTTGAAACAACGGTTCCTGTAGGATCACTAAAGTTAAACAAAGTTAAACCTGGTAGATGGTCGCTTGGAAATACCAGGTGCTATATACGTGGATGTGCCGGTCATGTAGTGGATAATGACTCAAAATAGTTCATCGGAGAGCCGAGTTCCAATTCTTTATATTCATTTATGTGCAAATTCCCTTGGGAAAATTATGAATCCGTCGCTTTTCCTCCAGCTATGGGTTAATTAGTTAGATTTGTTGCAGCAAACCATTATTATCTTCAAAAAATTCCTACAATCTAAAAATATTTTCTGGTTTTAAATAATCTCTATAAACCATAGAAAACAGATCAATCAACCAATTTAAGCAAAAACAAAACAAAAAAAAACCCCAAAAAACAATAATATCGCTTTAATTTAAGGTCAAGTTTAAAATTAAAAGTTAGGACCATCTATCACATCAGTTGGAGATGCAACGGTTAACACAATTTATGGAGAACTGAGACCAATATATCTGAAGCTCAAACAAAAGCGATTACAGTCTACTAGCCATTTCCAATGAACAGAGAGGGAAATCATTTCATCCTTTCTCCTATGGCCTCCTTATGTAAGTGTCTTCTCACGAAAATTGACTTTACCAGACACCATAACTCGGAACTCAGGGTTGGACATTGGTAATCTGGAGACAGCAATGCTGGATCGAATAGTGTGGGAAGGTATTGTCAATGGAGTCCCGACCAACCAGAGGAAGATCGAATGATGATGATGGTGATGATGAAGGCTCAGTTAATCAAGGAAGATTAGTCTATGTTCAAACCCCTGCCAATAGATCATAGGCCAGCGTAACATGGTAACGTACATTAATCTTCATCTGAACACACCGACCTCTGAGAGGAAATAAGCATTTTGATTTAGAGACTAGCCTAGAGTATTATTGAATTATTACCCACCGTCCGAAAATGGTACGGTGATCGATAAAGAAACATAGCTAGAAACCTATAATTAATACCGGATTTTAAAAACTCTACAATTAATACCGGACTTTAGTTAGAAACCTATAATTAATATTGGATATTTTTAGAGAAATATATAAATATCAACGTTTTTGGAAACCTATAATTAATATCGTCTCTTTTTGAAACCTATAATTAATACATATTTTTTAGAAACCTGTAATTAATACCGGATTTTCTATAGCACCTATAATTAATAACATTTCTTCAGAAACTTACATTTGAAAACGTATTTTTAGAAACCTATAATCAATACTGGATTTTCTATAAGGCTCAAAATGAATAACGTTTGTTTAGAAACTTTCATTTGATAACGTATTTCTGTAGAAACTTATAAATAATACTGGATTTTCTATAAAACCTATAACTAATAGTGTCTTTTTTAGAAATATAGGATTAATATTGGATTCTTTTTATAATCTACTAGCAGCATGCCTCGGCGTTGCCCGTGCTTGATTCAAAAACCGTACGACTCTTACAGCAATTGCTATCACTTGACTTAAAATATTTTTGCCCTTCCTTGCCTTTAAAGGAGTGTCCTTTGCCGTGCTGATGGTGCTACATGCCTTACTTCTTACCCATCTCACACTGCGAATTTTTTCTAAGCTTTATACTAAACATTGAATCTGTTACGAAAAAAACAAAATGAACATAAAACGATCAGCTTTAAAAAAGGACTCGTAACTGGAAAAACCGAATGAAAAAAGAATGTTAACAACAAATACTTTTTCACACCCAACCCAGTTCTGTGGAATCAGAATCAACGTTGAGTATAAGCAAGCGAATGAGCCAATTGGAGTAAAGTGCCATGCAGATTTAAATTTTTCCCACTTGTGACGAATGCAGCTATCGATTTTTTTTGCATGCTAGCATGCTAGTTAACTTTCATGTCAGTCAGCTGTTGGCTCTCACGATGGCCAATAGAATCTTCCTGTCTATTCGTTGCAGCCAGCTATAGGCTCTCACTCTGGCCAGTACAAAATGTCTGCAAACTACATGAAAACTGCCGTAGAAGCATGAAAAAATCGATTATTTCCACTATCGATGGGAGTTGGGAAATGCAACGTCAGTCTTGGCCTTTCTGCTAACTTGGAGCATGTGCATGTAAATTTTGGTGCAAATCCGTCGAAAATTGCGGCCGTGCATTCGTTAGACACACACACACACACACACACACACACACACACACACACACACACACACAATCCTGCCTTTTATAGATAGAGATAATTTAAACTGGATTATTACTTCATTTTCATAATTAACGTCCGATAATAAAAGGGTTTATTGGTTTGTAATAGGAATTATATGTGAAAATATTTGATGAATTTTTACTAAGATATTCAAAAAGAAATTACAGGTAGGCATACTTTTCTTTCTTCACTGACTTTTTCAGTTTTTGTGTAATTCGAACATGTTTCAGTTTGATTTTACAATGATTGTTAATACTGATATATTTATATGATATATAAATTACAAAATTTCTCAGTATTCAAATTTCCTAATTAAATGCTAAAAAAAGCGTTAATTTTTTATTTTTTCCTTTTCTTATTTTCATTTTTGAATCACCTCAGATTATGCGTTCTCTTTCGGAATCTGTAACTATGGTCTCCTCAGCAGGGTTGTATTAAAAAAAAATATAGTTTGGTTGAATGGGTGAAGAAACGTAAATGCATACGTTCAGGTGGTCTGCAACAGGGATTATTTAACCACGTTAGTTAACGTGTATATTCGGAAACAATGAGCCAGACATTAATCTGAAAGAGGAAGAACATATTCCAGGATCTGCTGCTAGGTAAGCTGATTTGCATTGGCATACTAGACAATTTTTATACATTTATCGTATACACTTATATGTCTACCATTCGTCCATGATTTGAATATTGTTGTCACATCTAGTCTGGTGCTTCTGCTATGTATTTTTGGATTCATGATAAAATACAAAGAAGAAACTACAATGTTATTAAATACTTAACCCGGAATTTCGACTTATTCAGATATTTTTCCCAACGCCGTAACGTAGATTTTCTATACCTTTACTATATGCATAGACATAGTAATTGCTCTGATGAGCTTTCCTCTATAGTACCAAGACATGAATTTAAACGCACTACAAGTGGCTAGGTCACATTATTTTACAGTTAAAATGGCAAGAGACAACAATAAATTCCATGCTCAAAGTTTCTTCTCCCTTGTGTCATTCTCTTCCGATTTCTTTCTTTCCATTCAACTTTAATCTTTAAAAATTTAAATGCAATATCAATCGTTATCTTCATCCAGTCGTTTTATTGTTATTAATAATTTCTTTTTCTCCTATTCACACTCAATAATGCCTTGCATCATAGTAGCTTTATTGCCTTGTTTGAGTTGAAATGATTAAAAAAAAAGTTACATTCTTAATAATTTAAAAATCCGATTTTCTTTTACATACGACTTTAACGTGAATTACACAGACGAAAACTTAGATTCATGACGTAGAATTGTAAAAAAATACCTCAATAAATTGGCTTTTTTTTTTAAAACTAGACTATACATATAATTTATGGCTAATATTTCATGTTCTTTGGTTTCTTACATTTTCCGCCATTTTAAATACGCCTGTTGAACTTTTTCTCGAGGAATCAATTCATTTCTGGTTTCCAATGCATACGCGTATCAACATTCTGTGTTTGATCTCTGAAGCAACTTAACCTTTTCAGTCTCAAGTGAAAAGAACGCCCTCCAGTGTCTCTGTTTAATCAGCAGAAAGAAAAGCACTGCTACGTTTCTTTGTTGAACAAAAAGGTCGAGAAATATCCGGGATAATTGGAACAAGCTGGAACGTTGGTTGCTCTTAAAGAACTATTAGATTTTAATCTCTTTTGCACTGCACGTTGCCTCCAGTGCCAATCAAGTTCTCAAACAAGGATCTGGATGAATCGCCTCGGCCCACTGGCTGGTCACGTGTTGATACTCAATTAATAGCGGAAAGTAAAAGAAAAGAGAACGAACTGGATAAGGAATAGAGAAAAAGGGAATGACTCAAGCGTTTGTTTTGAAGAAGAAAATTGAGGGTTTCACAGACAGAGTCAAATATGTTTAAAAAAGAAACAAAGAAAAATAAATGAAATAAAATGTGGTTATATTGCGCCCGTATTATTGTATAGGTATTGAGCAAACTTAGCCTGGTAGAAGATCCTAAGTATAAAATACTCAGTGAGAATCAAACTCAAAATACGTAACGGTTGGCTAGACGGTTTCTCTCACTGTTGGTATATAGAGAGACGGCTTACGGCCATATCACGTTGAAATACCGGTTCTCATACGATCAGCGAAATTAAACAAAGTTGAGCATAGTTACTACCTAGATGGGTGACCACTTAGAAATACAGTGTAACCCGGATGTAAGAGAGTTGTCGGGACCGGAGAAGAAGTCTCTTATATCCGGGTTTCTCTTATATCCGGGTTTGGTCTATTTTGTTTAGTATGGGCTCTAATTTGGGACCAGAGAAAATCTCTCTTATATCAGGGTTACACTGTATCAGGTACTGTAAACTTGTATGTGCGTCTAGTGTAATGGATAATAGCTCGGAATTGGAAATCGCAGAGCCGAGTTCCAATCCCAGTCTGGTTCGCTATATTCACTTACGCGCAAATATCCATAATAAGGGTATGAATCCACACCTCCTCCGCCAGCTATTGCAAATTAGTAGGAATTGTCAAAGTAAATCATTAAACATTCTTAAAATGTAAAAATATACAAGTCATCTACGAGGAAGTTGTGTAACATTTATTATTCTATAGGAGGACCGATATTACACAACGGACCAGCATTTTTTTTTATTTGTTTCTAACGATATTTTCCTGTTTCTTAATGCTTTGCTTAACTTTTGGAAAGCATCTTTCTCTATTCCCAATGCACCTTCAAATTTCGCTGTCTCATTTTCCGTCCTCCGTTAAAACACTTCCTAGATGTTTATTTTTTGCTCTATTCTGACGTCTCCAATTCTTACACCATACATTCTGTACACACTGAAAGCGATGACGTAGTAGCGACACACATTTCCCTCCTCTTTTAACTGTTTTCTCGACCCTTTCCTGGTTTAAAATAATAGTTCATATATTGCTATGAGGACTAAATGGCAATTATGATATAGCGTGCGCACACACACACACACGCGCGAGCGCGCGCGCACTTGCACACACACACGCGCACACACACAGACATATATATATATATATATATATATATATATATATATATATATATATATATATGCTGTATTTGTATTTTATTTCCAGTTTCATGTAAATCTCGGACCATTTCGCCCAATGATTTCTGATCTGTACGGCCAGAAGTTACTTTTAAAAGGTTTTCCATAGACGTGACGCATTTCTCGCAGTGATATATAATTTTCCTTTTAGTTTCCACTTTATCTAAAACTTTGTCGTTGCTCACGTTTCCACTCCATGATATTCTCAGGATCCTTCTGTATAACAACTTTTCTGTTGCCTCAAGTCTCTTCTTCGTATTACATTCCCAGTCGATGTAAAGTATTATAGATCTGTTTGTGACCGCTCACCATAGTTATCCAATTACTTAATACTTTCTTTAGCATTTGGAAGGCATCTTTCTCTATTTAAATGAGCATTTGAATAGAGATTTTTGTCTCAATTTTTCCATCTTCTGTTATAACCCTTCCAAAGAATTAAATTTCTACACGTGCTTAATTTCGTTGTCTCCAATTTTTATCTCGCATCTTGGGCTGGTATTCTTATATTCTGCTTCTAAATTATAGAAGGACCCATTTTACGGTAGTGAATTTATATATAACGATCATAGATTAAAATAGGACAATATTTCCATTATATATAGGAAGAGTTTCAAAATCGGAATAGATTTGAGAAATATAAAATGGCAAATTGGAGATTAATTTAGAGACAGGAAATATTAACCACTTACTTTAGGTGCACATACTTTACTGAGAATACCTTTGTCTCTTAAATAAATGAGGTGAGCGTAGGCCTATTAAACATTTGAAAATTAGGAGCTCCTCGCAACTTTATGTGCATCGCACATTTATTAAAATTCGGTGGCAGCAAACAATGCGTGCTGAGTTTTTATTGATCTTGAATGATTATTAGTCGTATATCCTCTACGTTTTTTTTCTTGCTGTACAAGTCTCGGAGGCACTCGAGGTAGAGGGTTACGTTCAGGGTTAGTTTATATGGATAGGGGGGAAGATAGCGGTTAACTCTAGACTTAAACAGGTTAAGATTGTAGTGATCGGGGAGACATTCTTTTTGGAGTCTCTTTCGCGGGAAGAATCTGCTCCAGTGGAACTTACTTCTCGCCGATGAAATACGGAGGTAATGTGGGTGGTTTGCTACTATGTAAGTGGCATGTCGGGAGCTAGACGTAAAGGGTAGACATGGCGGGACCAAGGAATGTAGTTCGTCTGAGCACTTTCCATGGTAGTAGCGATAGATCAAGGAGAGGCTCGCCACATCCCGCCTGTGAGAAAGAGGTTGGAGTGTGTAAAATAATTCTTCTCTAACAAGGACACGGAAACACTTTTGAACTCTATCAACACCGGAAGTGTGCACAGGGTAGCTTTCGCCCAAATATAACAACAGTACTCCATTTTGAGCCTGATCTGGCTCTCATAATGATAGAGGATATCATGAGAAGTCAGATACAGGTAGCCGATCATTTTTACCTGCATAATTAGCAATGGATCGTATATAAGAGGTCGGGTATGAGTTTGAGGCTCAATATCCTCTCAAGACACGGGACCTGCTCGAGGGGTCATCTGTTTACGGAGATTTCCATATATTACTTCTGGCTATATAAGTATTTATGAAACATTTTTTAATTTAGTTATATCTTCACAAAAAGTAACCTCTCTTTTTTTGACCTTCGTCGTGTTTATTAAATTTTTGAAAATTCAAATACTGCGTTATTTTCTTCTAGAAGCAAGTATTGAGATATATAGGACGTCATCGTTTGTACAAACGTTTCGTTGAGAAGCACCTTGCGCTAGTCACTAAGAAAATATGTTCCATAACAACCCAAGGCTTCAAACAAAAAGAATAAAAGCGGGAAAAATATTTACTTACTTGTCTGTTCTACCCTGTCCACCATACTGACCTGACGATCAATCAATTATTACCTTTTTTAAAGAGGAAAGCTTCCTTTAATGAAAACCAGATTAAAGAGTTGATCGAAAACCTTTCTCATCAAAACCTGCGGAACTCTATTCAAAATGTATTGAATAGTGTTAACGAGTCATTGCAAATAATGATGAATATATAATTGAATCAAATGTAATTGTACTTTATCTTATGAAGAATAACTGGATTACAAAAAAGGAAATTATATTTGAATCAACCTAATATTTGCAAAAGAAAAAAAGGAGAAATTCCGATCGATATTTTTAGATTTGAATTTATTTGAATTTAATCCCTTTACCATCTTCCATGTAGCTTTTGTTTTTTGTTTTTTCACATTGAAACGTCAAGTTTGTTACTTGACCTTTCTCTGATGAATGTCTGACCTGTGGGGAGTATATTGTAGGTCAGTTATTGTCAGATATCGCAAAGAGACTGTATAGTTTGTTTTGTTTTTTTTTCTGAATTATATACTTTAGCAATTTGCTTAATATTTTCTTTAGTAATTTTAGTAAGTCAAAATATCAAGTTACCCAATGTGGATCTATAGCACTACATCAGACTACCAAGCTAAATATTACCAATCAATAAGATAGAAAACTATAAATTTGATACATGTACTAAACAGCATAGATTGGCAAAAAAAACCCACAAAGGTGAAGCACCTAGCAATGATCAAACGAACTGTAGTAATAATGGCCTGCGTGTCTACCGTGTTAAACACTACTCTACGGTAAGGCGCTAAAGTCTTATTTACTAAGCTTAGTTTCCTCAGGAAATAATAATAATAAGCATGAGGCATCATGTGAGATTCGAAATCACTACCCACCAAATTTGGTTTGAAAGAAGAGCTTACTAATCATTTCTTCCTAACGATAATTTAAATTTAAGTCTAGCACATTAGAGCGAGAAAATAATGCATATCAATCAATTGATGACACAAAATAACTTCATAACAAAGAAGAGGGGGGTAAGAAAAAAGCATATCCCCATAAAATAGTAATACGGAAAATAACAACGATTAAAATAATAAACTAAACCAATTTGTCGGTCCTCTCCTATTATAGCCAAAATCGAGCAAAATTATGTGCTCAGCGAGTAAAAAATATACAATCCACACATATGTTATATGCAAGAAAATATAACATACTTAAATTTAAGCTTATCAACCATTCCATCTACTTAAAGAGATGGCTGCTAGGACTTAATTTACACCAACTCCAACATCTTGAGGTAATAATTAAAATTAAACCTACTCAGCACTGAGAACTTATCCGAGTTATAAGACCGGGTAAAATGCTTGATGTTAATTAAATGTTCAGCTATCACTGAACCTGTTGTAACATTTGAATATTTTGTATCGTTGCAATATTCGAGTGTGAGTATTTTACGGTAATGTTACTCGCACTTTTGTTAATGAATTGTTTCTTTTTTGTTATAAATCGATTTTTAATATGTCCGCGTTTGTCTCTCTAATACGTTTAGCTTAATACAGTACAAGGCTATGCGAGTAGAGAGCTAATGAGAATAGATCTCACTAAAGGTGTTAAGATCAATAAAGCTAACTTTTTTTCTTTTTTTTTTAATATCTTCACCTCAAGCAAGGCAATAAAGGCACTAAGACGCAAGGGGCTACTTGAAGTGAAAAAAAAAAGGAAAAGTCTTTAGAATGTCCCAAAAACTCAGTGATAGTATAAATTTCAGTGTTCAGGAAGAGATGCTGAAAGAGAAGTATTGAAGTAGAATTTAGAAGGAACCGGAAACCCACTCTTACTGATCAGTTTTGATTATAAGAAATACTTTCTTTTTAGTTCCTGTTCTCCTTAGTTGTTTTTCATTTATCTCCATTCTATTGTCGACATTCACTGGTCGCATCAAAAATGGAAATATCTTGCTTGTCCTCATTTTTTATACTTTTGGATATTGATATACACACGATTATTACCATACAATAATTGTGCTTCTTCCTCTTTTTGTTAGTTCCTTAGTTCGCACGACCATTACGCACTGCCAATACCCCATAAATAATGGACTTCCATTTTTTCGCGTGGAAAGGCAAAAGACCTATCAATGACGCTACTTGGTTTCACTCAAAAAATGAACGAAAGGGTGGAAACTAAAAGTGTTTAACTTCTAGTTCAGTGAGATGGAAAGAAAGTTGTCAATTCCAAATCTTTTCATTTGTACCCGCTTCTTAAAATAACAAACAGCACTCATATGTATGATTTTTATTGTAATATTGTATTAAAGTTGTTAAGCCTAAATACTAGAATATTTGGGCTTAACGACGTAATGGGAATGGGGAATATCTAGGGAGATTTTATTGTCGCAGAACTAGCCATTATTCAATCATTAAGTGAAGAATTGAGATTCATCAGAAATTTCAAATATGAACCCCTTAAAATTTTCATGGGTTAAAAAAACATTATTATTATTATTATTATTATTATTATTATTATTATTATTACGGGAGGCTCCTGTATTATGCGATTATGGGTAGAGCTGAGTGCTTTGAAAATATGATATTTGCTAAATATAACATCGTAAGGAAACACGTCTGTTAAGATTATGTCGCGCCAAACTCACAAATAAAAAAGATTAGCTGAAGATCCTAATTCAAAACTCTGACGTTTTTACCGGTATTCGAACACTCATCACTTGTGGCAATGGGATATAAGCTGGCAATATTATTATTACTATTATTATTATTATTATTATTATTTGATAGCTTGCATTACTTGTGTTCACTGCTTTTTTGCATCTGATAAACTCTCTCTAACAATTTACTAACAATAATTCCAGCAAGATTTATAAGATTTTAAAAGTCTTCAACTGTCTGATTTGTGAAATGCTTCATTGCTTTATATTGTTTCTCATTTTCGAATTACCGTTTTAAACTCACTTAAGATAGAACCCAACGGCCGTTGTACTATTATAGTCGTCTGTACCACTGAACTATACTCGCAAATGCTCTCGTAAACCATTGCTAATATCTTAAATGCTGTGCAACACAGGGGATCAGCATCGACAAACGAAAACAAAAGGGCTTTAGGCAGAAAATTAAATATTTTGTATAAAATTGAATGTAATGCGTCAGTCCTCATATTGGAGTTATTAACATAGAAGCGCAGCCCCAGGGCATAAGTAGAAGATAAAGGGAACAGCGTTTGATTATGGGAATGGATGGGTTATGATTAGGGGTCTGGTGAAAGGTGATTAGGCAAAAATAAGAGAGAAAAGATCAAGCAGCGGTGAATTGGGTGTTGAGATGTATGGAAGAACAAAGGCGAAGTCGTATTTAAGGCCAGAAAAGGAAATAAAAAGTATATGCAATGATGGAGGGGCATTTAATGATTGGCAATATCTGTAGCTTTTTAGAGATGTCTAATCAATTGTGGCAAGAAGGAAAAAAAGAATGAAAAATTACTAAAAAGAAAGGAATAGAATAAGTTCGAACGAAAGAGCATGTAAACGGAGAAAATGAAATTGGTAAATGAGCAGAAAAAGAAAAAGGAGAAAAAGAAAAGGTTAAGAATCTAATACAAAGGAAATGTATAAAAAAAGATGAGGAGATGAGAAAAATGGAAGTGAAGAAAGCTGAAGAAAGAGAGAAAACTTCGATGAAAATGAGAAAGAAAGTGAAAAGAATAAAACCCTTAACAAAAAAAAGAAAGAAAGAAAGAAAAACAATGAATTTTAAAGAATCCATTAAAAAGGCGGATGAGTAAAGAATAATAAAGTTTGCGAAAGAATGAAATAACTTTTTGTAAATCCTTAAAAGGGAGTGAAAAAGAACAAGTAAAGACTATAAAAGGTTGAATAAAGAAAGAAAGAGATTTTGTTTTTTCTTAAGGGGAAGAGAAGAATAAGCAAAGGCTATAAAAGGCTGAGTAAATAAAGAAAGAATAAAGAAAGAAAGAAGGAAGAAAGAAGTAAAAATGAAAAAAAAAAGAATATAAAATGTTAAGAAAAAAAGAAAGAAAAAGAGAGCGAGAGAACTGTTTGTAAATCCTTAAAGGCAAGTGAAAAAGAAAAAGCAAAGAGGCAGGTTGAGTAAAGAAAGAAAGAAAGAAAAAAGAAGAAATTTTTTTTTTAAATCCTTGAATGTAAGTGAAAAAGAACGAGCAACGGCTACAAAAGGTTGCGAAATAAATAAAGAAAGAAAAGATGAAATAAAAATATTTTTTGTAAATCTTTAAAGGGGAAGTGAAAACGAACAAGCAAAACCTATAAAAGGTTGGGAAATGAAAGAAAATAGATAAATAAAGAGGAAAAGAAATGTGCGTATTTCCCTAGAGGGAGTGAAAAAGAACGAGTAAAAACTATAAAGGGTTGAGTAAATAAAGAAAGAAACTTCTTACAAACTTAAAAATTTCAGAAAGGAAGAGAATGAAAAAAATGACAGACCTTCAATGAAATTAAGAATCTAAATAAAAAAGCTTAAGTAAAGAAAGAAAAACTTTTCTTTTCAGTGAAAGCGCGAAAGAAACACAAAGTATACACGGCTTTAAAGAAAAAAGAAAAAAAGAAAGAAAACATTCTTAAAATCTTAAACGGAAGTGAGAAAGAAAGACTAAAGTATATAGAGGCTTAAATGACGACCGAATGAAAGAAAGAAAGACTAGTAAAACATGTTCAAAAAGACTGATCAATAAATAAAAAATAATAAAGAAGTTTAAGGAAAGAAATAATGAATTTGTACACTTCAACGAAAGAGAAAAGTAGCAAAAATATAAAAGTATAAATCAAAAAAAGAAAGAAAATTTTCATGAAATGGAGGAAAAGAACAAAGAATAACATATTTTAAAAGAATGAAAGAAAGAAAAAAGAAAAAGAAAGAAAAAATTTAAAAACTTCAAGAAAAGTTCGAAAAAGGAGCAAAAATAACATATTTAAAGAAAGAAAAATATTTAAAGCAAGTAAAAGAAAGTGAGAAAGAAAACATAAAGAATACAAACGTAAGGGGAGAAAGAAAGAAAATGTACTTCAGTTAAAATGGGAAAATGCTAATAACATCTTCAAAGGACGAAAGAAGAAAAGAAAGAGGAAAACTCATAAAGGAGAGAAATCGCGCAAAGTTTCAAAAGAATAATGAAGTAAAGAAAGAAAATTGTGGAAGATTGGAATGAGAAAGAATGTGTGGCTAAATCGAATGACATTCAATGCAATACGAAGATACTAACAGGAAAAAAAGATGTCATGAAAATAATGGGAGAGCGGGAAGAATAAATCGTGAGATTTTAAGAAAGAAGAGGGAACTGAAAGAAGAGGGAACTGAAAGAAGAATTCAGGAAGAACAGAAAAAAAATAAATGAATGAAAATTAAACAGAATTCGTTACTGAGCGAATCTTCTTATATTAGGTGAGTGCAAAAGCATTTCTTTTCCTTTCTTTTTTCTCAATACGACAAACTGGATACACAGTAGAAAACAGCTTTTTTTATGAGACGCGCTAACTTTTGAACACACCTAATAAAATTGGAAAAGAAAAGGTCTTAGGCGTGGCAAAAAGTAAGCAATAAATAGTATGGATAGAAAAACAATAGAGGAAAGATATATGATGAAACATTTTTTAATTATTTTTATTTTTTGTCTGTAATGTCTATAAAATGTTGTATTAGCGTGCAAGGGAAATAAGGCAGATTAATAAAAGACGTTTGCAAAGCCGGGGAGATGAAAAGACCGACTCCTTGAAAGAGCGAGTACGAGGATCAGTCAAAAAGTATCAGTACTTTCGCCATAATATGTCTTATGAAGGCGAATATTTTTGTACTTTCCTTCGTACAAGATTTACCAAAAAATACGTTTATGTCGTAATTTCTGACGCTATAAATATATTAGGTTGGTGCAAAAATAATGACGTAATAATGTCGTTTTTGACGTAACGTAAAAAAACGACATTATTACGTAATTATTTTTGCACCAACCTAATAATAATATATATTAATATATTTCAAACTAAAATAACACAAAAGTGAGTACAAACGAGAACATTGTTATAAACAGGCTTGTAACAAAAAGACTGACATTCGTGATCAAGATTTTCCAGTGTGCTGATACTCTAAGCAGACAAGACTTAAGCTGAGAAGCCATACATTACTCTTAGTTTGTTTTATTTCAAAATAGGTTTAACGAATATAGAAATGATTAAATGAGACATTTTAAAAAGTCAAAAAAAGAGGAGAGTAGCGAATGTTTTTTGGTGTTTGTTAAGGAAAAACACTTTCTGTAGGTGACATAAAAACCTGTAAACAGACATGCAATCACCACTTAAAAGACTTAATCAAATCTCCCTATCACCAAACGTATGTCATACAATAAAATATCTATAAAGATTTACTAAGCGTAGCTTTGATGTAGTATAAGGTCAAAACTATGGAGCACCCAGTGAGGATCGAACACTGCTCAGTCGTAATTGACACCGCAAGACAAGCTTGCTAAAGATTACACCACATCGAAGTACCCTATTAGCATATCCACATGGTGATTTTCCATATGTAGCTAGATGAAGCACAAGGCTGAAAGTATGGAGAATCCACTCAGGATCGAACTCAATAGTCAGTCGTAATTGACATTAGTAAAACATTCTTGCTAACATTACACCATTAACATATCTATAAGATGATTTTCTAAGCGTAGCTTAGATGTGGTACAAGGCCAAAAGTATGAAGCACCGAGAGAGGCTCAAACACTACTCAGTTGTAATTGACCAAACAAGACATTCTTTCTAAACCATTACACACCTTCAGTGTGCTCCATTAATATATCTATGGTTTTCTAAGCGTAGCATAGATGTGGCACAAGGCCGGAAGTATGGAGCACCCAGTGAGGCTCAAATTCTCTACTCAGTCGTAAATGACCTTAGAAAGCAAGCTTGCTAAGCATTACACTACGTGGAAGGGCCTAATATATCTGTATGGACAAGTTGTACAATGAATAAAGAATTAAAAGGGGTGTTACGTTTTAATGATTACATCAACAAAAACAAGCTAGCGAGTAATATAATGAAAATCTCAAACAGAGAAACAATAGAAAGAAAATAAAAGCTACAGGATTTTTTTTATTATTAAAATTCTCACAATTGGTGGCGCGAGTGTCCCTAAAGGTAGAGGCTAACTGTTAACAGGGTTATGATGAATGAAGCGTATGATATGAATGAAATGAAGATTATGAGGGCAAGGAGATTTAAGGAATAATATAAAATGTATTCTGAATCCGAAAAAGAGAGAGAGATTGAATAAAAGAGACAAAAGAAAAAAGAAAGAATAAAATAATGCGCTGAATTAAATAAAAACGAAAATAAAAGGTATTTTAAATACTTTAAAAATATAGCCGGCTAAAGAAAGAAAGAAAACAATTTACAGTGAATGGGGGGTGGGAATTAACGGCGGATTATAAACGGGATATGAAAATACTTGACTACCAATAACACTTTTTTTAAGTATATATCAACGCCTAAATAAAAAAAATAAAAAAAGATGTGAAAAAAGTAGCAAGAACAAAATTGCCGGAAGATCTTGAGCTGAAGCGAAAAAGCAAATCATGAAAGGGTGGGGGATAGAGAATTCAGCCGTGAAATCCAACAATTGAATCAGTTAACCACCCTTGGGTCATTATTGTGACATCATTGATCAGAGAGGGCGCCACTGAGGAGGAGATTGGAAGATCACAGGTCAACGATGAGAGAAGAGGAAGGGGAAATAATAAAATGTGAGGGATAACAAAATGAGGTCGACAATGAGAGGGCGGGATTAAAATAATAAAGAGGCTTACAGGGTTTACGGTAAAGTTGGTTTGGGATCGTGAAAGCAGTTTAGAAAAGGCATGCAAGACGGAAGAGAAAAATTGGTATATGGACAAAAATAATGAGAACAAAATGGTGGACCTCGCATGTTGCATAAGAAAGGAAAGCTTTGTATGTTTAATGTGTGTTTCTTATTTTTTTTATTAATAATTCGGTGTTTTGTTTGTATTTAAATATATAACTGCAAAATATGTGTTCAAATACAGTATACACGTTGCACACACGTATAGGTACGCATATATATATATATATATATATATATATATATATATATATATATATATATATATGTGTGTGTGTGTGTGTGTGTGTGTGTGTCAGTCTGCAGTGATTTATGAAATCAGATATGCAAATAAAATGTTTTTCGATATCTGTGAATTATTTATTCATTGTTCAATATAAGCTGACACACATATTTATATATTTCTCTCACTTTTGTTTCCATTCTCTCTTCCAATGTGGGCATACACACACATACACACACACACACATACACACACACATATATATATATATATATATATATATATATATATATATATATATATATATATGATCGTGTAACGAAAAAATAGGAAACGTTTATAAGTCTAACATCTTTCGCTTTTATTAAAACTCCATCAGAAAATGAATCCTATCATACTGTCAGGTCCCAATTCATATTTCATTCCAATTTTATATATATATATATATATATATATATATATATATATATATATATATATATGTGTGTGTGTGTGTGTGTGTCTGTGTGTGTCTGTGCTTGTGTGTGTATGTGTATGTGTGTGTATAGATATATAAATATATATATATATATATATATATATATATATATATGTACGCATACTAAATTTACTTTTCTTCCTCCATGCACACGCACACACACACATATATATATATATATATATATATATATATATATATATATATATATATATATATGAGTTGAAATAAAATATGCGTCAAGTATTAATTGAAATCCCACAGAATGACAGAAGAAATGTTTCATACACATATATGAGTCGACGGTCAATTTATTTTAAACAGTATTTTATTTCGTCTACCGTCATGAACATTCGAGAAAATGCGTCCACCGCTAGGATGCGTCTCCTTTGAAAGAGAAACTGTCTTTTGATCCGACATGTTTTGTCCATTCCTCTACAAAGAGCTTCCTAATGAAGCAAAAAAATTAAATGCAAATAGAACATTGCAAGTTTATGAAGCTATTCGTAGCCGAATCGTCAAAACATGTCGGATCGAACGACCCTATTTCTTCCAAAAGGGAGGGACGCGCAGGTTCTAATATTGCCTGAGTGTGCTTTCGTGCAACACTTCTCAAATGTTCAGGCCGGCAGACGAAATAAAATACTGTTGAAAATAAAGATAGCGTCTACTTAAATATAAGCATCTACTAAAAGAACGTTTAATATTATTAGAAGTAGACAGTAGACACCTTAGCCTATCGTCCGGTTCACCTTCCTTCCCTGTCTTTTGAACAGGAGTAGAGATTTATCCCTTCTTTCCTGCTTACGATTGTGTTTCTGGTTCCTTTTAAAATCTTTTTTTATTTAAATTTCACTACCAGGAAGAGTTTGCATCTTCATAGCATTATTTCCCTGATAGGGGTATATTAATCATTCATATATATATATATATATATATATATATATATATATATATATATACAACAGGGGAGAAGCATATATTCGTACGCATACAAATTTTTAATTTATTTCCAATTAATGAATAAACATACTTTTCATATAATTAACTGTACACAGATGCATAATAACTAAATATGTAAAGAAAACAGAAAAAAAATTGATTTAATAGAAATAAATTCCATTTGTCCATTTTAATGGGTGAAAAACGTATTCATACGACGCAAATTTCAGATTTTTAAACTTTTAAATTGCTATAATACTGTAGATTATTCAAGTAGAATACTTTAGAATGTTCCAATAATGGTATCAGTAGTTATTTTTAGCCTAAAAATACAAACAGAACATTCTGTAATTGATATTTGTGCAAGAAGGTTTTCATTATGACAAGAGATAAAGAATTGACAAATTTGCAAAAAGAACTGATTGTTAATGTCTGGAAAGGAAATAAAATTTACAGGAAAATCTCAGAAAATGCGAATGTTCCATTTATTACCATTAGTTCATTCATTGAAACGTATGAAAATCTCAAAACCGTTGAAAACCAAAGAACAGGCGGTACACGGAAGATTTCTTCAAGATCTTCGAGCAAATTAATGAGTCAAATTAAACAACCAAGGATTATTCGTCAAGAGTTGCAGCATGATTTGCTTTCATTATGAATCTGTGTCACTAAACACACAATAAGCAATTAAATTAAAGTCTAAATTGAAGCTCCCATCTGAAAATTCCACTGCTATTGAAAAGACAGATTTCAGTTTGAAATTTGTTTGTGAACGTAAAGATAAGGAAAAATCGTATTGCGAAAGAGTATTATGTGCAGACGAAACCAAAATTAAGTTTTTTAGACATAGTTCCTAAAAGCATGTATGGAGGAAAGATGGCAATGCCTTCAAACCAAAGAACACAGTCCCACTAGTGAAATTTGGCGGTGGCAGCATCATGGTTTAGGATGCTTTTCTGCAAAAGTTACTGTCAACATATCAGTAATAGATGGTAGAATGAATGCTGCATCATATCAAAATATTTCGGAACCAAACGTGATGATTTCGGTTGAAAATCTTGAACTTCCTTCTGAATGGATCTTCCAACAAGATAATGATCCTAAACCCACTACAAAATCTACGAAGAATTGGCTTGCTGAAAATAATGTAAATATTCTGAAATCTCCAGATTTAAACCTAATCGAAAATCAGTGGCACTATTTGAAAATTAAAATCCAATCGAGAGCTCCAACAAAGATCCCGGATCTGATGACCATATCCGAAGAATAATGGAAGAAAATACCAATTAAAATTTGCAAATCATTGAGAACTGCAGGAAGAGGTTGGTTGCGGTTGAAGTGAATAATGGCTATTCTACAAAGTATTAAATGATGTATTCTTTTTGTATACGAATACTTTTTTCACCAGTTAAATGGATAAATGTGATTTACTTCTATTATATCACTTTTTTTTTCTGTTTTCTATGCATATTTATTTATTATGCGTCTGGGTAGAGGCAATTATATGAAAAGTATGTTTATTCAATAGTTAGAAATACAATAAATTACAAATGTCTATGTGTACGGATATTTGTTTTCCCCCACTGTATATACCTAATGGGGGATTTTTAGTGTGTGTGTATGGGTGGGTGTGGGTGGCTGTGTGTGCATCAGAAGGCAGCGTGATGAAATGTTCGTGGTCTGACCAATAAATACCTTTGCCAAGAAATAGGAAGGGCTATTATTACAGTAATATTTTTCATACCCTCGATCTTTCCACTTTTGGTTTTAAAATATATGTATATATTATGTAAGTATATACTTTTGAAACCTAAATAAAATGCTTCCCCGTCGGATTTATTTCATACATCATTCTGTTGATGCTACATGAAAATTAGCTAGCTAGATAGATAGATATGAACAGTTAGATATGAACAGATATATATATATATATATATATATATATATATATATATATATATATATATATATATATAAAAAAGGCTTAAACACTAATATTCCATGGTCATAATTTATTTCATTGGAAACGTAAATACGATCCAATTCATCAGACCTACAAATTCAAAAAAAGAAAACAGAAAAAATATACATGTATGGGTATTTATATATTTTGCATATGTATGTATATTTACCACTAATATTATCTCTATATATAGATAGATAGATAGATAGATAGATAGATAGATAGATAGATAGATAGATAGATAGATAGATAGGTAGATATGAACAGTTAGATATGAACAGATATATATATACATATATATATATATATATATATATGTATATATATATATAGATAGATAGATAGATAGATATGAACAGACATATATATATATATATATATAGAGAGAGAGAGAGAGAGAGAGATAAATAGATATGGATAGACTCAGATACATATAAATAGACTCAAATAGATATGAATAGACTTAGATAGATAGATAGATAGATAGATAGATATGAACAGACATATATATATATATATATATATAGAGAGAGAGAGAGAGAGATAGATAAATAGATATGAATAGACTCAGATACATATAAATAGACTCAAATAGATATGAATAGACTTAGATAGATAGATAGATATGAACAGACATATATATATATATATATATATATATATATAGAGAGAGAGAGAGAGAGAGAGATAAATAGATATGAATAGACTCAGATACATATAAATAGACTCAAATAGATATGAATAGACTTAGATAGATAGATAGATAGATAGATAGATAGATAGATAGATTGCAACAATCAATATTTATATCCTCTGTCTTCAGTCTGTTGTCTTAAAAGACTCAGAGATACATTTCATATTTTAGATCTGATGCTCTGTTTCTGTTTAACTAACCATGAAAAACACGCTTCTTCCATATAAATCCGTATTTATCATACGAGCCACGCCCCTCCCCCACTGACCATTGCAATATACAACGCTTAAAAATCTCTTTTATTAGCTTACACATCACATTGTGACACAGGCGGTTATCTTGCTTCTACTACAGAATAGCCAATTGTCTACGAGTCAAAACAGCCGATTATTCAACACAGTCCGGGTCAAGCTCTTTGTTATTACATATGGTAATAAACCCACGCTAATCTGCACACAGCAGTCAGTCTATTAACCATGTTCCTATTACCTTCTCCCCAAGTCCCTGCGGGTAAACCGAGGTTCTGTTGGCCGGATCATTTAATGTCATGTCATTATATATAGGATTAATAATTACTGCTTATGCCAGTACGCGTCTCTGGAATGGTCCAGGGCCTGTCCTTTGCATCGTGCCATCAAAGACCGTGTGGCCAGTGAAGACACTCTGGCTGCAGGGCATACGACCGGACGGACGGACGGTAGGCTGGCCGCAAGACGGACGGCCAACTGAGCACGCTAACTTGAGCCGCTGTCGCACGTTAACTTAGTCGGTGGGGGTAGAGTTGACACGGCGGACAAAAAGAGTAGGAAAAAGAAACGCGAAGGAAAGTTTGGAAGTAGATGATTACTGCTGACTTGTATGGATGACCAGAAGGGACACATTTAATTGGAAAATAAAAGTGCCTCAAACAATTTTTCTTCTTTATATATTGTGTGCATACATAAAATCTATCTTGTGGCCACAACTGTATTTTAGCATATGACTGACGGCACGGATATTAATTACAGGAACCGGGTTGGTGAGGCTTATTAATACAACATCAAAGCAAGGAAAATAACTTTCAGACAACATTTATTGGGAGCAGCGTGTCGTCCGACCCTAAAAATTAGTACTTATATGCGTAAGTGTTTAAAAACTTGTGTTTGTGCTACATATTCAAAACTGTTTTACAGAGACACGCGCACACGCACACGTACACACACATATGTGTGCACATATATGCCCTGTGTGACATCAAAATTGTCCAAATCGTGTAACACCATGGGATAATTGTCCATCCCACAAAATGTTTAATATCTGAAAAACCTCTGAATTAATTTTTCCAGGTTTTCAGATAAAACATTTGGCCATCTTGACACTATTTGTTTTAAGAATTACTGAAAAACACTTTGTGTTATTCAGCCAGAAAGAGAACGATTTAAATCATTTTTGTCAGCCCCACTATGTCTTTCCAACTGAGTAATAGTGAGAGGAAAAGATCATTCAGTCCTTCAGTAATGGTAGAATATTGATTCTGGCTTCCATCTTCAAAGTCCATCAAAATAACGGTGAATAAGTTTACAAAAGAAGGAAGAGTAGAGAGGAAAAATGTGTCAGGAGGTCGCAGCAGCAAAGGGATTATCATTGCAACTTAGAGCTCAATACATTTTTATTGTTCAAAGTAGAGATCAATAGTGTTATAAGAACCTCGGAAAATTCCAATGAGATGTTTTTAATTATTTCTAAGATACAACGGTTCAAATCTTAATCTAACAACTGGAGAATTTTGCTGTAACATCCGGTATATATATAGAGAGAGATCGATCGATAGTTAGATAGATACATATCTAAATACTTAGGATATGTCAGGATAAGGGAAAAATAGGAAACTTTTATAAATCTAAAATCTTTTGCATTTTTTCAACTTCATAAGATAAAGGCGAAACATGCTATATTTATAGTCATTTCCTATTTATTTCTTATCCTATCATTTTGTCGGATTCCGATCCATATTTGATGCATATTTAAGTCCAAATTACAAACACACACGCACACAGATATATATATATATATATATATATATATATATGTGTGTGTGTGTGTGTGTGTGTGTGTGTGTGTGTGTGTGTGTGTGAACATTTTAATAGTTTGTGACTGGAACAGATAATTTCGAGGAGGATATAAATTCAGGGAGAGCTCAATGTAGACAACAGAGCATTATAATGATAATAAGAAGACTTTAATTAACCATTTCGATTATAATTTTATTTTGGGAACACTTAGGTATTCAACACATCGGATCGAAATCTCCTCCCTAACTGGATAAAATACACCAGACGGACACATTAGATTAGTTGTAGGGAGGGAATGTGAGAGAAAAGGGATGAGTAAAGAAAGGACTAAGGGATTAGTGGTTGGTAGTAGTCGGTTCAGCCAACCGGGAATTTATTCTATACATTTGAGATTTTTATATTTGGTTGTATTTTACATTAACCGATACTGTTTCTTGTTTTTAGGCAGGACAAACCAGGTCCATTCAAATCAATTTAATGAAAGAGATCTTTATCCAAATAAAGGTCGGTATTAATACAGTAATAATTAAGCATTTGTTTTTTTTTAGGCCGAATTTTAATAGCGGAGATATTAATTTGAAGGGAACGCAAGAGGGTGATATAGAAAGAGTGGAAGGATCTGTGGAGGGTAGGATGGGCAGGGCTTTTGGAGAAGAAGTGGGTGAGAAGGAAAAGACGGTGTAGTAATAGCATTAACAGATTGACTGGACCAGATTTTTCTTAATTTTTGGAAGTATGTAAAGTGGTTTATGCTGTGGGTTGACTGGTGGCTGGTTTCATGAAATAGTCCCTAGTACAAATTATAATTACACATCACAGTAATATTGTCAGATAAAATTGGAGGGATTTTAAATAGATGAATAAAACAAATAAATTTAGAATATATATATATATATATATATATATATATATATATATATATATATATGAATTTTTTCTCCCATTCCTACATATCATTTCCGTTAAGTTAACCATCTCCTACCCCAATATAAAGCATGCTTAAGAGAGATATGAAATTAACCCCTCCCTATACTCTACCTTGTCTCTTTACCTACCACTCACACCCCTCTGTTAAATTACAAAAATTACACTACCCATCAATTTCTAATCCCATTTTTCTTTTCATTTTGTTGTTGGAATTGTTACCTGATGATCCGGAGTCCTTTAAAAAGGATTTTAGTGAAATAAATTATTGTAATGGTACCTTAAAGTGATCTGTTTTTTTCATTAATTATATATATATATATATATATATATATATATATATATATATATATATATATATATATATATATATATATGGGGGACGAAACGCGTCACGCGAAAACCTTTTACAGTTTCTCATAGATATATAGTGAGAAAAAGTGATAAATTGAAAGAGATATAAAGTGAGAGGAAATAGATAATAATAAACAACCTTTGACCTCTTCGTTTTTTTTTATTTAATAACGTTCCACGTAAAACTGTTATATAATTTACGAACGTCTCTGAAAAGATATCCTTAAAAAAGGAAATATACAGATATTACATAGTTTCTAATGGGCTGGTACTATGTATGGTTTGTTCTTTACGCAAGATTGCACCGCTATGATATCGGATTTAGTCTTAAGGAGTTATTGTCTCTACGCACAAAATGCCACCATAATAATAATTTTTTTAACTGGGGAATGTGATATTTGTAACGATATGTTGCTGTGCTAAAACATTTAAACGCTCAATAGAATATGCTATTTACGCAACAATAAATCTGAAATATGTTTTTAATCGTTTCACTCCAAGCAAAGCGGCAATGCCTCTAGGATAAACGAAGGGAGTGAAAGAGAATAAGAAGACTTTAGTGAGAGGTATTGACGAAAGGCCAATAAAAGAACAGGATTCAGTTAAACAGAAAATGTTAATTGAAGTTGCATTTAAATTTTTGAAGATTGTAGGAGTTAAGGAAGCAAGAAATTGCAAGGGAGTTCCACAAGTGATAAGTGCGAGAAAAGAAACTATTAGAATAGACGTAGCGTTTGCATACATTTTTCAAAGATATGTTTGCATCAATGTATTTAAATATTCTCATCTGTTTACATATTCGAATTTTAGATTCGAACCGATGCTTAAGGCTGAAATTTGTTTTCATACTCACAGCTAACTTTGACAGTTTTTCAGATGACAATCAATGTTTCAAATTGTCAGCACATTATTATTTTATTGAATTTTCATTATCGCCGTCGGAAAATTAATTCTGGTTCAATTGCTTAGAATTGCCCTGATTCATTTTCAAGATATGAACAATGCTTCATAATAAACATCAAATACACTTATAGAATATGAAATTGCAACACCTTGAATATGTCAATATGCATTAATTTATTCAAACTATTGTTCTCATCTTGAGTATTATAGATGTTATTATAAGAAGAACGTTTCAATCAAGTACACACTAGTCATCCAAAAGAGGATGATCCTGTGATTTAATAGTTAGCGCTGCCATGGAGAAATCGGAGAGGTGAGTTGAATTTCCGTCGGGTCCGTTACATTTACCTTCGCCTTTTGGGGGGAAAGGAGAAAATGGGATTAAATACTAGGATTTGTATCTGGAAATATCATTCTCATTCTCCAAAACGTTGGGCAATACTTGCAAAAAATAATGCATTATATTTAAAACAAGAAATATACGTTTTAACTTTTATCAATCAATCAATCAAATAATCATCTTCAAGTGTCTGTTGTTGCCCCGCAGGTTTATGAAACCGTCACTTTTATGAAGCCAGAAAATCTCTTGATAGTCTTGTTCAACAAAACATGTCTTCAAGAGGGATTGCTGCTCAAAATTATCTTACAGCTTTTTTCAAGCTGTGAAATAGATGTTCACCGGTCTAGATATATAACGTTTTGATTTTATTTAGAGAAAATATACTTCTCAGCAGGGACGGGACACGTTTTCTCTTATCCTTGGAAATCCGGAAACTATCAAGTGTGCGTTACCGTTCAATCATGGATGTATGTACGGAGTGGCAGAATATTCCCGACTCAAGGATAATTTCCCAGGATAAGTTATAACAAGTTCCATCCCTGTTGAGAGGTATTCTTTCCTCAATAATTCTTCCCCTCTCTAATCGGGTTGACATTAATTTCACCGTTTGAATAATAAATATTAACGTACAGCGTGTGAATGATGTAATTGAAATTTTAAAAAATCATGGGAATTCTGGAATTATTCTTTGTAATAACGTTAGTAAGTGAAGGATTAAACAGAGATTTGGGTTTACTCAGAGAGTATAACATCCACAGAGAGACCTCGAACCAACAACATTCCTCGAAAGAGTAAGTCCCACTTCTTTGTTCCTCGCATCGTTGAAAAAGAGCACAGACGTGTTCGAAAATTCCGACTTTAAAATTTATCTATTAGAGCTTCGTGTCTGTCAAAATGTTTATATGAAATAAGTATCAATTTTATTAACTATATTGGTATCATTTTGTTGTCTTTTCCTTTTTTTCTTTAGAATGCGAGAGCAAAGATTATGAATGTTGGCAATCTGTAATTTGATCAGATGAAAGTAAATTCTGCCAATTCGAGAGAGGTTTATGTTTGAAGAAATCAGAATGAGACTTGGAACACTGGATGTCTGCAGGCGACCATGAAACATGGAGGGATAAGAGTAATGGTGTTGGGCGCTGTCTGGTTTGGAGGGAAATCTGAGCTGATTCTTGTTGACAATCAGTTGAATGGTCCAAAATACTGTCAAATACTAGGGAAAGGATTACTCCCACTATTTGAAAACAATCAGATTGACAAGAATGTCGACCTTTTTCAAGAAAATGGAGCGCCATGTCATACGAGC